CAGGTCCGAAATCCAACCTCCGAAGTGGACCGCACGTGGGGTTTTGTTGAATGTGTGGGATGGACGGTCGGGCCATTGCTGCACCGCACCTGGCATCACATGGCACTCGAAACGTCTAGATTGCAGAGCATCCAGTGCCGCATCCCGGATCCTATTTAGTCCTTACGGGCTAAGCCGTTCACAAGACGAGTTCCGCGTGGCAGGCTCCACGTGCCCTTTTGGAAGAGTCTGCTCATTCCTGGGCTCAGTGGCCTGTCTAAACTTGGCACTCTATATATATATATATATATGTGTATATATATATATATGCTTATATATATATATATGTATATATGTATACGTACATGTGTATATACACAATATACATGTGTATGTGCTAACAGACGCACCTGTGTGTGTACGTATGAACACACCATACATATACGCCTACATATAAACCATTACAGCGGTGTGTTTGGTTGTGTTGGTGGTGGGATGTCTTTAGAGTTAAAGCCTTGCAGAAGAGATAAGAAGAGCCAAGACCAGGCGCAGGTCTGCGACGTGCATCTAGATCTAGTACTTCGAGTGTTGGTCTTGCCTGTCATGTCTGAACAAAACCGACATCCTAAACCGTAAAAGGCCTTGCCGTTTCTGACTGCCCAAAAAGCATGTCCACCCAATTCATCCGAGGTTATTTCTGGCACCAGCGCCAGCTGCAGCGCCTGGGAAGCGACAAGCCCGTCGAGCCCATCCGAGTGCTCGTTCTCCTGAGGCGAAAGGGTTAGCTAGTTTTTGTTGGGTTTACGGCTTTGGGGCTTCTGGTGTTACAGCTTTAGGGTTTTAGGGTTCAGGAGTTAGCTTTCAGGTTTACATAAGTGTTAAGTTTAGTTTTGATGGTTCAGGATTTATGGGGGGCGTTGGACTGGGGAATAATGAGCATTTATGGCATGAGACGACAGACGGAGACAACTAGTGCAAAGACCCCACACACAGAGCGAGGAGTTGAGAGTCGATAGCAAAGAACGACTACCGGCCTCGGAACCGAGAAGAGAAACGACGAGCACTACACTCAGAACAGCCTGGAGGCTTCTTTGCTTTCGGCTGGTGCGTGCCTACATCTTCGAGCCACGCCGGCTCTCGACCAGCAGCTGCCGCTTTGCCTACGAATCGCCGATTGGAGTGGGGCGGGGGAGAAAGAGATGTACGCACATGCACACGCTTAGCTCTTGGTGCTTCTACACCTCCTTCCGTGTATTTTTGTCTGTGTATTGACCTTTTTATGTACAAGTATACATCTGTACATACATACATGCATACATACATACTTCATACATACATACATACATATACGCGCACAGATGTATATGGGTTAGGCTTTAGCTTCTTAGGCTCTGAAGGATCTTAGAAGCCCCGTGTGGCCTTCACCGCCTTGACGCCCAGTTGCTCCAAACACCGGCCCGGTTCAAAGTGATGCAAGCAGACCAACAGGAGCGGAATGAATCCTAAGAGTGACAGCAAAGAACGATATCAACGATCCTTCAAGCTAGAACAACTAGAATGCCAACTTCCAAACCATCTCGAGGCGTTGGTTTGGCTGCTGTGGGTCTCTTCCTGCCGGCTATTGGCACCTTCCTTAGCTTTTTCTGTGCTGTCGCGTTCCAAAGCCTGAATTCGGAATTTGCGGAGATTTGAAGCTGGGTGCTACCAGTATGCACTTGAGATGGCACAGATGCAGCAAGTTTGAAGTATGTTTCTTGTGTGGAGCCATGTGGAGCCTTTCAGGGTCCAGATTGGTTTTGCAGCTGATTGTCCGCCAGCATGATTTTGACTCGGTATAAGCAATCGCTCAACAGCTCATATTGCTGACCCACCATACTACCACTTTCTGCTCTTACAGAATACTCTGATTGTCGTGCACATTCATCTCGTGATTATGGCCAGCACACGAGACCCTCCAGCAGGAGTGTTGGGGCACCGACACTGGGGCGGCTTGCGCTCCCTGTGATTCTGCTCAGATTGTGCCGATCCGTCTTGCGGCATTAGTTCAGTTGTCCTCGGGAGCCTTTGTAATTAGGTACTATTGCGTACAAAAAGGACCAGCAGCAGTAATAGTCGTCGTCGTTTTCAACGTCGTCGTGGTCGTCGCAGTAGTAGTTTAACAGCAGCAGCAGGAGTAGTAGCAAGTTGTGTCGCAGTGGCAACAAAGCAGGAGCAGAAGCAGGAACTGGAGGGGTACAGAGACCAGATGGATGCTGCTAGATGCCCTCTAGGGCTGGGGATTTAAAGATCTACGGGCTATAGAGGTCAGAGACACCACGAGAAGTGTGAGGTTTGTAGGTTCAAGTGTGGAACTGACAATCTTTTGCTGTGCGAAGCATTTGCTAAAAATGCTGCTGCGGCTGGGCTGCATTGCCCCGCTCTGACGCACAACATCAATCTGGCACTGACTCGAAATGGCCCTGTGCCGCTACTGCTGCTGGCTCGTAGCGGTCACAACTTGCATCTAGCCTGTACCCTTGCCCTTGCTTGTCAGCTAATTAGCTGACCTCCTCCTGCCTTACTCCTGCATGCTGGATGTTGGGAATTGAGCTTCATCAAGGCCACCATTTGTGCCGGGAGTGGCAGAAGAGGAACTAGTAGTAGTAGTAGTAGTAGTAGTAGTAGTAGTAGTCGTAGTAGTAGTAGTAGTAGTAGTAGTAGTAGTAGGAGCAGCAGCAGCAGCAGCAGCAGCAGCGGCAGTGGCAGGAGTAGGTGGGAGCAGGAGCAGTAGTCGTCGTCGTGGTGGTGGTGCACGAGGCATCCGCCGATGAGTGCAGCTCGCAGACGATTGTTCGTGCATAATGGAAGTTGGTTAGGGATTTCGAGGTTCTATTGGCAGCGATAGCAGGCAGCAGTAGTATTGCAGTAGCATTCAGTAAACCAGTACAGCAGTTTGGCAGCATCACCGTACAGCAGCATAGCATTGTAGCAGTGTAACGGCATAGCAGTATAGCACTAGCAGAAGCAGCGGCAGCAGGAGCAGTAACTGCAGCAGTCACATCAGCAGTGGCAGGAGCAGAGCAGTCAGCAGTCGGTCGGGGTCCGGGTGCGAGTAGTAGGGAGTAGGAGCAGGAACAGCAGACACGAAAGGGTAATATAGGGGCCCAAATAATTACCTATAGTATATAACATACCCCAAAACCCGATTCTAATTATGAAGGCCCCTACATTACTGTAGCAGCAGTATCCTCGGCTCAAAGTTCAAAGCCGTGGGCTGCACGGGTTGTTAGGCTGACCTTGCTTTCTCTCTGCGGGGCAAAAGAGCGTTTTGCCCAAGATCCTCCGGGTATCACGACACTACACATAACTTGCAATCCAGTGGTGACATGTTCAACATTCGGTTTGTTTTGGGGGTTTGGCGATGTTTGGGGCCACATGGCAGAGTTGTGCAATGGTTGGTTAATTGTGATTGGTGCTCCAAAGGCGGTCTGCGCTGAAAGGCCTCGATTGCAGGCCAAGTGAATAAAGACCAAGGCAACGAGCGACACTGCTTATAGTGTATGCGGTCTACAAACACCATTTCATTGCCTTCAGACATGAGAATTGCGCCCAAGCCAAGGGTTTAAAAGGCACGACAACAGCGTCCCCACTGAAAGCTTCTGCAACCCGGTCAGATAAAGGACCAACTCCAGCCCGCCTCAGGAGCCTTCTGACTCCGCGTTGTCGCGTGAAGTGCTGGCCTTGGCCGAGTGGCTTAAAGAGAACGCCGGGAGCTCGGATTACATCGCGAGGCTTTGTTGTTTACACGTCCCCCTCTTTCCCGAATGCTGTCTCCGTGTTTTACATCTATCTTTGTTCGTCAGTGGGCTTGCAATGCTCGTACATGCGTATAACTTTGGATGGGGACAGAGTGAGAGAGCTGGAGAGAGAGAGAAAGACCAAATCCGTTCCGACCGTGCAGCTTCACGCCGGGTTCGACTTGAGTCCGTGGACTCGCGAAGGGTTGGAAGCTTCTCCCCACCATGGCTATGTTGAGGATGGAGAAGAGAGAGACAGAGATGTCAACATCCCTACATGAGCCGTTCGGCCTTGCCAAAGAAGAATTAAACACAAAAGAGGTCGCAACAGGTGCGCTCGCGCATGCATTTGCTCGCATGTGCGCGCACACACACACACACACAATGACAAAGACGATGTTACCCCGAAGTAAGTGAGCAATACAGACAAATCACGCTGCCGGAGAGTGTTCATGGTATTTGGTAGGCTGTCATGCTCTGGTACGATACGTCTAATGTGGGCCAATGCGAGATCTTCAATGTTAGCAGGGACACGCCACAATGATATCGCAATGGCGAATTGCGGTGAATGTCCATGGAGCAACCCTGAGATTTAGTCCGAAGGCCATTCGAGGAGCCTCGCCCCTCAAGACTTTTTCAACCGCACTCGAGTCTCCCCAGCCTCGCAGCTTCAAATGGTCATGTTCATGAAGACGCAGCAACTAAGCGATACGGTCATTATTACACCATCGGTGAGTTGTCTTCGCCCGCCGTTGAATCCCAGGAGGGCAGCTGGAAAGGGGGCCGAAGGCGGGACTGAGAGAGCTCAGTAGATTTATGATTTCTTCGCTGTCGTGCTCATGCCAGGAAGTAAGATGCTTACAAAGCACACACTTGCGTCGAACTTCCTCCGACTCTTGAGCAGGTCTGCAGAGGACTGCATCTTCCGGCGCAAGCTGGACGGGACCGCCCTGCCTGTGTTTGTTAGCCACAACGCACCGCGCGGCGTTTATCCCAAAGGCCTATAAGATGAGGTTGTTCAAACAGCGGAAGAAGGATTTGTTTTTGACATTCTACTGCTTTTTCGATGGAGAATCTGGCGCGTCTTGACACTTTGCATGTGGTGGCTGTTCAACCTGACGACAGACATGTCATTTTCGCGTTTGCATTGTTCGCACGCCATTAGACTTTGCTTCTCTGGATCCGGGCAACGGCAACTGCAGATCCAGGCAGCTTCTGCATCCCTGCAGAGGACTTCCTTGGACCGTTTGTCTAGGTGTTAAACAGCTCAGCAACACTTTACGAGCATGTTTATCAAGCTGATGAAATCTGTCAGCACGAGCCACTTGATTGCTTTGCCAGGCTTGTTGTCGAGAGCGCCGTGGAGGTCGGTCTGTCGGTGCGGTTCCGTGTCGCAGCCCGGTTCCCGGAAGGGTTCATGAAGCTCTGGAGCTCACCGGACATTCTGGGACTCATCATCGCAACGAAATCCAAGCCCGTCCAAACCCGAAGACAAGGCCTTGAGGCTCGCATTGCAGGTGCCCGCTCTAAACAAGAGAACCGAGATGAATGAATCCAAAGGCGAGACGTGTATAATCAACACGTGCTCGGTTGGATGTCTCATTGCCCACAGAGCTCCGAGTGTATTTTTCTAAATCGACATGAACATCGAGTTCGTCCAGCAAGCCCCTCCACCCTCAGGTCGAAGACAAAGCTGTGGAGATCCTGAAGAAGGTTTCCGACGAGGCGAGCAAGCTAACGTACTGTACATACTAGTAACACTAGCAGCAGCATTTCACAAGGGAAACAAGTGATTGTCGGCTCATTCGAGCACTACTGTGTCGCCTGCATTCAGGGTCTACTTTGCAAAATCATGTGACCCTTGAAGCCCCTGTCTTCCTCGTAGCGGCACTGGGAAGGCAATCGAACTACTCGAAGGTGACAGAGGTCATAAGAACCGCGGAACATCACTGCACGAAGGAGTCTCAGAGTCTATGACGCATGCGCACGTGTGCACGCACGCACACACAAACACGCACAAAGACACTGACAGAGACAGACTCCCAAAGTGCCCAAGACCATGACCATGCCTGCGATTCATGGAGGCGGATCGCATTGCAAAGGAGCTGGCTTCGCTCCAGCCACGTGCCAGCTTCTCGTGCTGCCGTGATCGAGATCTCATCATTGTCTATTCCGCCAAAAAAGCATAATCCAAGCTGGCCATGTATCACTGCTGTGCGAAAACTCGGAGCATTTGTCTACAGTAGAATGCTTCCTGCGGCTGACGTCAGCCACAGGCCATCGGCGATGAAGATGAACTGGTAGACCTCAAAGAAGAGAGCGCTGCACAAAGCTGATGCTTGCTGGGAGTTTGCGTCTCATGGATTCTGAAGCGTCGGGCTGCTGATTTTGAGAGCTTGTACACCTGTCGTTGAGGGATGCCGGCTGGTCGCACACCGTGAGCGGAATGCAAGATGACCTCTGAAGGCGAAGGCAACCGGCGGTTTGCGGTGGTTAGCTTCGGCAAGGCGGGAGGTGGGGGGGTGGGCGGTGCAGCGTGATCGCGGGCGACAGTATCAGGTCGTCCTTGAGCAAAGTCGACGCCGCTATGCATCTAAAACGTTGGTACAGCAACAAAGGATCAGAGATAGACCAGAGACTCGGAAGCAGGGCAGTCAAGGCACAAGCGCGCTCCGGGCCCTTTCTGTCAGCCAGGATGAGCTGCCGGTCTCATCCATGCACCTTCAGAAGCTTCGAAGCCTCTACGAGGCGGAAGTCGGAGGGCCTTAGGGCAGCCTCACTCATGGTGTTTGACTGCATCTCAGAGCCGATGGGAGCAATCCTTGATTTTATGACTTCGGCGTGCGTGTGCACCGCCTTTTTCAGTTCTCAGGACAGGCAAAAGTGATGAGGGGTTGTGTTTTTTGACTTCTGTCACACTCGAGGTACATGGCGTCTACTCTCTTGTCAGATCGCTTCTGCAGGTTCACAATGGCGCTGCTCCACACACCGAGGAGTTCCCGGGAGACGGTAGTTTTAAAAGGTCTGCATCACACTGCACACAACTGTTCACAGCATCATGCAGATTTCGTGTCTCGGGAGATGGAGATGTCAGCAAATCCCGAGCCCGACTCCTTAAATCCGCATCCTTCCTGCAGTTCAGAAAAGTCTCGATGTTGCGCTTTCTACTGATGTCACCAATGCAAGGGCTCTGCAGTCGGATCCCTTTAGAGGCTGGATCTTGGGCGTCTGACTATGACGTCTTCACTTGTGATAACTTGTTCTTTTGTTGCTGCACCCGCAAGTTCTCGAACTATGTCGTGTGGTCAAAATGAACACTAGTCTCGAACGTACTTCTGCGGCTTTCTATGCCAGTTTGAGTGGAGCGGCTCTCCATTGTGGCTGGTCTGGCGTGATTGTTGAAACTCTCCGTGCCCATCAGTAGCATTATTGGGGAGGACAGACATGGTTTCTGGGTTGCAGCACTCGCCATGGTTTCGAACGGTTTTTGAAGGTTTTTAGTTCTGTGTGGCGAGGAAGTATGGCTTGCTCCGGTGTGTAGTACTTAGAGCAATCCTAGATTGTCTTCTCAATCCATCGTGTGGTGCACGTAACGAATCCTCCTCTGCATGTACATTTTTGTCTTCCGCAGGAGTGGGAGGCAACCTTCAGGCAAGTCACATGCATCCGATAGAGGATGTAGGAACTGTAGCAGGGCATGAAATGGGAGGTCTGGGTCTCAGAGACCGTATGAGCTGGATCCTACTCGCGACTTTAGCATTTTGGATCTGGGGCACCATGCTTTGGGGATCTGTTGGGAGACCGCTTCCTTGTGAGAATGGAAGGGGCCACAACACACATCAGCGACTCGGCTTGCTGAGTGACCGCATGCTACACCTCAGACACCAAGCCAACGTAGCAGAGATTGAGAGGGTCTTAGCGCTGTGATCAACAATAAGGAGTGTGAGCTTGCCTTTGCTCGGTCTGGCAGGCGGAAGCTGCCGGAATCCTAGCTGCGCTTCTCGATGCATGAGAGCACGAAAGAAGTAACTTGGTGGCGTAGCCTTACCTGGGGAATGCCGGCGCGGGCTCAAGCTGCGCTTTGCGGTGTATGTGATCTCCTACTCTGTGGCTTGCAAATACATCCACCTTTGAAGCATGTCCTTGCGATTGAAGGCTTGTTTCTTGGCCTTCTCGAATCTCGTCGCCGTGCATGCCTGGCGTGTCAGCAACCCCCAGGTGCCCAGCTCCCTGGCAGCAACTGCCTCTGAAGCTGAAGAGCAGGGCGGCTTTTGCTCCAGGTCCATGTACGTCCTCGGATGTGGGCCGAGCCAGGTGTGCCAAAGCCAGGGCCGTCTCAGTTGTACCCTGAAGAGCGACGCGGACCTGGCGGATGGTGCTGCCAAGGTCGCCAAGAGGCTGCTGGCGAAGGCCCAGGCCTTCAATAGCAGCACCTGGGCCACTCGGGGTGCCATCCAGTTCTCGAAGCTCACTGTGGCCTTGAAGGACTTGAATGTCTATGCTCAGGTTCTTTTGGAGCCAGGGGACATGCCCCGGTTCAGGCATGAGATGCAGGCCGCCAAGGCAAGTGTGTCACAAGCGGCATTGACCATCCATGAGGCTTGGAACAGGAACGGCCTTTTGAGGAGCCACAGTAAATCGGTTTCTCTCCGGTCTTTCGTGGAGTATGTGGAGGAGGTCTCCAAGGAGAACGCGATGCTTGACGGGAGCAAGATCAAGGACTTCTTGACCCGGTGTTTCCCAGGCATTCCGACGGAAGCGCTCGCCGAGACTACGAAAGATGTAGAAGCGGCGCTAAGCTCAGAGCCGGCATGCCAACCCTCACCCATGACAGAAGGCTGCAGCAAGGCATTGCTGCATGCCTACTGGGGCAAAGTGCTGTCCGGCGCACAGCAATTTCTTGAGGGAGCTGAAGCTGAGCAGGCCGACGACGATGATGAGGGATCTGGCCCAGACGGATCTGGACTGTTGCAAGTTGAGAACGGTTTCGCTGGGCTCTTCTTCCTCAGCTTCATGGTTTTCTTCCACATGATGATCCCGTTCATGATTATCACCCTACCGATTTGGCTTCCTGGCCAGCTCGTGCTGGCTGCATTCTTCGGCGTCCTCAAGCTGATGGGCATTGGACCCTGAGCTGCGGCAGCCTCCTAAGGGGCAGGACGTTTGATGTCTGACCCAGTGCTAGTGGACGACGCATCAGACTACATTCCGTGAAACGAAAACTGCGTTGCTTCTCTCTCGACGGTTGCTTGTCAATTTCTCTCACACGGCCGGCTCACCATGCTCCATGCATCTCAGTTCGGAGTGATGGTGGGAGAATTTCAATGAACTCCGCGGGCTGCTGCCAACTCATCCAAGCTTTGTCCTTGCCGAGGTACTGCATGCTGCGTCGCTATGCCCAGGGCTCAACACCTTTGAGCGTGGTTCTGTAGACACTGGATTTCATTCGGTGCCCCCCCGTCGAAGTACGGTTGTTTGCGTCTTGCCTCGGTGTTGGATGGCTGTTGTTGTCAAGGTGTTTATCTTATTTAGTCGTACTCACCATTGTTACTCCTAGCCACTGTAGCTGTGCCCGTTTCCACGTATGACTGCCTGATCGACAGCCAAGTTTTAAGGTCAGCACTGTTGCTCTTGTGCTGGTAGTTGCAGAGCAATTGCTTTGAGCCCACCACATCGCAATCGCTCTCATGCTCGTCAGGGTCATGAATATGCTTAGTAGTATGCACGGCTTTGCTCTTGTAGCTGTTAGTTTTGTTGTCGTTGCTGTTGTTGTTGCTGTTGTTGCTGCTGCTGTTGCTCCTGTCGTTGTCGTCGTTGTTGTTCGTCAGTTAGCTACTTAGTTTGTTTGTTTGTTTGTTTGTTTGTTTGTTTGTTTATTGTTGTTGGTGGTGGTTTTGCTGCTGTTGCAGATACCGCAGCCATGATGAGTGGTGTCGTGTTAGTTCATAGGAGCATATTGTCAATCGAAGTAGGTCTAATCGCGTTTGTGCTGTTCGAGATGTCATGTCGCTTGGAAGCCACGTCTGAGTTTTTGACTATTGTATCAACCCTAAACCCTAAACCCTACACCCTAAACCGAATCAACTGTTTATATGTTGTAGCATACGATGGCGAAGCTGCGTTGGGGCCCAAGGTCACTTTCATCGGCCTCGATCCGTCCAAGCAGGGAAGCCAAGGCCTTGAGAGCTGCTGGATGTCTTGACAGGATAGGGTTGATAGGGTTTAGTACACCATCGACTCTTTTGTAGTATCTCAGTATATGGTACTTGTGTATATTGGGCTTCAGATGGTACCGTGTGTTGGGTTTGAGCTTTGGGGTACAAGCTTTTATGCTCGAATTGTTGGATGTATCACGTTCTGGTTTTAGTGGAGAGTTGATTTGGTCTACACAACAATCAAGAAGTTTCATCATCAAGCGAATTAGCCATGCTTACCTTCCAAAGACAGCAGTGATATGACTGAAGAGTGATGCGAATGGCAATGCAACTAGATTTAGAGAGCTCGTGCTCGACTTTGATGATATTGAGGACAATCCGCCACATGACGAATAAGTGAACGTAGAATGGGATTCGCTAGGTTATCGCGACTGTGACCAGAATTAGAGTTAGAGCATCGCGGAAAGCCACACTTTCTGCTAAGATGCCCTGCGTGCATAGGCCGCTTACGCACATGGGTTGTCAGACTTCAGGCCGCCCCCGGCATAAGTTTAGGGTTTAGGGGTGTAGGGGTTTAGGGTTTAAGGCTTCAACCATCTTCCATTATACATTATACTCGTAGCATCAGCAGCACTGATTGCCTTCCTGCGCGTAGCACCTTCGAACACACACGGGATCTAATGTAGTAGTTCAGCATCGAGAACCTCGAAGCTTGAGCCCAAGCGAACTCTGCGGCTTCGGATCCCAAAGTCATAATGGAAAGTGTAGTGATCTTCGACGGAGCAGCAGTCCCTTAAGCGCGAACCCGTTCGTGCTACTCTTATTTCTGCTCACGGTAGCATTTTTTGTATACAAGCCACCCACGAGAATTGGTAGACAAGCCGTTACCAAGCATGGATGGAGGCGGCAACATGCATGCTGCAGCACCTGAGTCTGCCCGGAGCCTTTGTCCCAATATGCCAAAGGTTCCAATAATTTGGGTTGCTGATTCCTGAAGTTGGGTTTTAGGGCTCACGACGCGTTTCTGCAGGCTGCACCTTGCATGCGTTTTCTGCCTCTACCCTTCCTCTCTTCATGCCCCAGAATACATGTGCTTCAAGTAGTTTCGATCTCCCGATTCGTACTACACGTGTTACAAATGTTCGCGGTCTGCAGCTGGTCGACGGTAAATAGGCCCACATAAGCGCCTAAGCGTAGACTTGCCGGCAGCAGTAGCCATTGCCAAGACTGCTTCAGGAAATGAAGCACTGTACTGGTACTGAGTCACCCTTTGATGCCTGACTCATGTGTGTGTGTGTTGTGTCTAAGTCTAAGGTCTTTGCTTGGCTTCGCAAGGACATCAGCTTGCGAAGTTGATGAACCTGGATATGGCTGAAAATGACTGGTGTCAAGCACTAAATGACAACAATAACGATCACGCTCCTCACAGTGATGGTAGTCTCCAGAAGCGATCCCATTTGAGATTCTATACTGTGTGTCATGGCTCGGCCCTTAGTGCAACAATCAAGTGCTGTCGTCGGAAATCAACGTGTTTCGGATCACATAGCCAGTTCTATGTCGTCATACGGCTCGTTTCCTCGCCTCGACGTGCGGTGCATCTACATGGCCGCACTGAGCAGCAGCGCAGGAAATGGGTGTGTCCTGCGAGCTGTTTGCCTCACCTCTGTTGGGAGCTTAGCTGTTGTTGGCCTTAGCATGGTGGGTCCGGGGGTCAGTGAAGATTTGCCGACATAAGATGAGTGATGCTGAACGAAGCAGAGACCGCCGTCATCATTGTGGTCATCATCCTCATAGTCATCAGTACCTGTACTTGAACGTGCACTGTAGCAGTAGAGGAAAAAATCGCTGCACGCAAGACCGAAGAATGCAAGAGCAAAAATAATGTGTCTCAAAGCAATAGCAACTGGCCATTGCAGTCTTACAGCCGACGACGACTTGCGGCAATTCATAAAACGGCTATCGCTCTTGTGAGACCTATGGCCAGTGCCACTACCACCATTGCTATGGCGACCCCCGAGTCCATAGCTGCTTGCTGTCGTGAGCCAGGAATTGCTATTTCGCGCAGTTCTACTCGGCATTCCCGGATGCCTCGGCCTTGGTGACTCGGAACTGACCTGCATCCAGCGACTCGCTTGAAACCCAGCAGCTTCGGTGTCTCAAGCAGGGTGCGAAAAGGTCGGCGAAGGTAGGACAGGTGGCAGTTTCAAGATGCTGTGGCGGAGTTCTGGAAAGATGTGAGGTGAGGTTCGTTGGATCTGGGAGTAAGGTTAAGCCGTAATTTGAGATCGTTGCTCTTGGCGCATAAGTTAGCCAATGGCAGTAAGGTGCTTTCATTGATGTCCGAACCTATCACCATCCGAGCTTCCGAATCTAGTGTTACAAAACCTTTCGTTCTATCGTCATTTACTTGCTCATGCTTCCCCATCTGCATACATATCCAAATCCAGCCCTACATCCCGCAACCCAAATGCCCCTTTCACCCCGCATACTGTATCCCTCGATCCCTGAAAACTTACATCTTTAGACCCTGTACGGTCGAAACAGACCCTCTCGATTTATGGGGCCGCCGAGGTTGATTCAGCCTTTGGTTCGCGGGGCTGGGCGCTCGGGCAGGACGGTTTACATCCAAAAGCAACATACAGGGTTTGAGGAGGGATTTGGGCGTGGGATTTGGAGCTGATTGGGTTTATTGTAGGGTCCAGGGTTTATGATCGGGTGTTGCAGGCTTCGGTTTGCAATTCGATGTGTCTGCGTCAGTTTGCCTTTCGGTTGGGCCTACTTGTTGAGCATGTAGTTGCTCGAATCACGATATGTGTTGGGAACCGTGGTGCGTGAGGCAACCCGAACAAGGCTCCTTACTGTGAGGTGGCATCACGATCGCAAGACCTACACTGTTCATGTCATGTTCCCCGCTCTCTCTAAACCCTCAGAGCCTACAGTGCCTACATCGTCATGAACCCAAAGCCCCCGGCTCCGCCGAAGGTTCTTTCTTCGAAGCAGCAGCGCTACCAGAGACTTTGTTGTGCATTGGCTGGAGAAAGGAGCAGTGCAGAATCGTGTCATGCAACAAACCTAGCAAGTACACCGTACACAAGAGCAAATCTAGGCCAGGCCTGGGAAAATCGCGGCCGTGGGAAGGAAGCTGCCTTGTGCCCACCCAGGAAGGCTCTTATGAAGTTGGCCCTCCCTACACGGAGGAGGCTGGGCCGACAGTTTGGGTGTTGCTGAAGCTCCGTGTCACGTTGTCGTTGTTTGCCACAGTCACAGGCAGAGTAAGCAAAAGGCAAAAATGCTCAAGAAAGCGTACGAGATGGACATAGAAGAAGTCGTCGCAAGGCACGCTGTTTTAAGAGTGCACTCGAGGTTCGAATCTGCAAAGCATGCCGCAGCATGCCTGCAGGTGATGGACCTCATGGCCGCGTCCCGAAGCAGTTCGAAGTGCGAACGGCACACTCAGCATTCATTGAGATTCCGAGACTCCATGGTTGTACAATGTCAGCTGCTTTCAACCGGTTACTAGCAGAGTTTTTCATCATCGATACTCAGGGGCTTGTGGATAAAGGTTTATGAGAGTTTTGTTGTGATACCGAGTTCTCCGTTTGCGAACGTCGCCCCGCGTTGGTTTAATGAATCTCAAGAGACAGGTTCAGTGACTAGCATAGACCTTCGTCTGGTTCACGACCAACCCCTCAATCCAAACGAAGCTTCTGGTTCAAGTGCCGGCACCCTAAACCCTAAACTTACCCCGTCCAACGGCAAGTGATCCAGGCCAAGAAGCTTTTGGCCCTTCTGCGCGCCTCCGGTGAACGACCACTGAGCTTTGCAGCAGCCTCAAGAAGGAGCTGTCGAAAGAAAAGGACATCGATGCTTCAACGTGTAGATGCCACGTCTGGATGACAAGGGACTGGTCTTTCAAGGCTGCTACGAAACATCCAGACCACTTCGAAAGACATAGGCCTAGTAATGGTGCTTGGAACT